TGTGCAGTAACTCACAGAAGATTTTAGCCCCATTTCACAGCTGTGAAAACTGGAGTTTAACTTGACCAAAATCATACATCTTATAATTAGCAGAGAATGACTCAAATCTACCTGAGCCAAGATCCTACTTTTTTTTTTTTTTTTTTTTGAGATAGAGCCTCAAACTGTCCCCCTGGGTAGAGGGCTGTGACATCACAGCTCACAGCAACCTCCAACTCCTGGGCTCAAGTGAGTCTCCTGCCTCAGCCTCCCAAGTAGCTGGGACCACAGGCACCCGCCACAGCACCTGGCTATTTTTTTTGGTTGCAGCCATCATTGTTGTTTGGCAGGCCCGGGCTGGATTCGAACCCTCCACCTTAGGTGTATGTGGCTGGCGCCTTATACACTTGAGCCACAGGTGCCCCCCTACAACGCCTGGCTCATTTTTTTGTTGTTGCATTTTGGCCAGGGCTGGGTTTGAACCCACCACTCTTGGTACATGGGACTAGCGCCCTACCACTGAGCCACAGGAGCTGCCCGGATATACACTTCTTAATTGGACATCATTTTAATATTGAGCATTGACATTGAGTCAGAGTTAAACTCAGAGGGTCTTTTTGGAGGTGTCACCTGTAAATATATCCTTTGAATATATTTGCAGGTGACAAGAGCTGTTGCTTGCTGCATCACGGTGCACAAGACCTCACAGGCAGCAGTGCCCAGCCTGGCTGTCTACAGTAGGAGGCATTCAACAACCCGTCTGACCTTGCTGTCGCGGGATGCTGGGATGTGTGTGGAAGCCACCCCTTAGGATGCTGAAGTCCCTGATCACAGAGCAGTCACAGAGGATCCCCACTTTTTCTTCTTGAATTCAAAGCCCTAAGAGGCCCCCACACTAGAGTCAAAGGGAATGTAAAACAGAGCCAAAAGGCACATGGCTGCCAAGTTTTTCCATTGAAGGTGACCATTATTGGATTGGTGTGTTGATAGGTAGCAGTAGCTTGTGCACACAAATAATGGAATGTTTACAAATCTCACCTTTATAGGATGTGTACGCCTCGGGTGGCCTACCGTTCAGTGGTCTGTGCGCAAACCACAGCAGAGCTACAGGAGGGCCAATTCAGAGTTGCGTGTGGGTAAAGGGATATTTTTTTCTCTCACTTCCTTGAAAATGCCCTTATAGTACATTTTTTTTTAATTTTTTTGCTTTATTTATTTATTTTGCAGTTTTTGGCCAGGGCCAGGTTTGAACCCGCCACCTTCCAGCATATGGGGCTGGCACCCTACCCCTTTTGAGCCACAGGCACCACCCATATAGTACTTTTTTTTTTAATGTACATTTTGTAGGTCACACTCACTGCTTTTTAAGCTTCACCTGATAGTACAGATCTGAAATAAACATGAGCATCTGATGGAACTTCTTCAGTGCTCTCCTTACCCCAGACTTGGAGCAGTTGGGCGTGGAAAGCTATGGGCTCGGCGAGGGCACACCCTCAGCTTTGCTCTCAGGGTGGTGGACTGCAGAGAGGTTCTTGAGGTTTTCTTTCTTTCTGGCTCCTTTGTACAAATTTGTCATTAAATTAAGAAAGCCTTTCTCCAGAGGCATCTGTGGCTCAAAAGGGTAAGGCGCCAGTCCCATATGCTGGAGGTGGCGGGTTCAAACCCAGTCCTGGCCAAAACGTCCAAAAAAAAAAAAAAAATCCAAAATAGAAAGCCTTTCTCAGGCTCAGCGCCTGTGGCTCAAGTAGCTAAGGCGCCAGCCGCA